CACTGATATCGGCCGTGTAGTTTAGGTTTCCAAACCTGACCTGATGGCCAGGGGTGTAGCTATCGATCTGCTCCAGATGGCCAAGCGAATTGGCCCACAGTGCGAAGCCACCAAACACGAAGATCTGTCCGGGGAGAAGAGTCTCACCCTGGACCATGTTGTTGTTGATGATTGAAGGAGCCATGGAGCCTTACAGCGACGACACAGAGGAACTCTCAATGAAAGCACCAATGTCGGTGTCAAAACCGGCGGATCTCGGGTAGGGGGTCCCGATCTGTGCGTCTGAGGCTGATGGTAACAGGAGGCAAGGGACACGATGTTTTACCCAGGTTCGGGCCCTCTCGATGGAGGTAAAACCCTACTTCCTGCTTGATTGATACTGATGATATGGGTGTTACAAGAGTTGACCTACCACGAGATCGTAGAAGCTAAACCCTAGAAGCTAGCCTATGATGATTATGATTCTGTCTCTAAGGACTAAACCCTCCGGTTTATATAGATACCAGAGGGGGCTAGGGTTTACATGGAGTCGGTTACAAAGAAGGAAATATAATATCCGGATCACCAAGCTTGTCTTCCACGCAAAGGAGAGTCCCATCTGGACACGGGACGAAGTCTTGAGTCTTGTATCTTCACGGTCCAACAGTCCGGCCAAAGTATATAGTCCGGCTGTCCGGATACTCCCTAATCCAGGACTCCCTCACCAACTGATCCAAGTACCGAATGTACGACACCTCCGTGTTCAGCACACGTTCAGCATGATGACGTCCCTCGAGCTCTTGATCCTGTTGAGGATGAGGGAGAGTTCCATCAGCACGACGGCGTGGCGACGGTGTTGATGATGTTACTAGCACAGGGCTTCGCCTAAGCACTACGACGATATGACCGGGGTGTTAAACTATGGAGGGGGGCACCGCACATGGCTAAGAGATTATCTGTTGTGCTTTGGGGTGCCCCCTTGCCCCCGTATATAAAAGAGGAGAGGGGGAGGCCAGCCGGCCCTGTAGGGCGCGCCAAGAGGAGGGAGTCCTACTAGGACTCCAAATCCTAGTAGGATTCCACTTGGTGGAAGGGGGGAGGAAGGAAGGGAGAGGAAGAGGAAGAGGGAAAGGGGGGCCGCGTCCCCTCCCCTAGTCCTATTCGGACTTCCCATGGGGGGGTGCCTCCCCTATGTGGGCTGTCCTCTTTGTCCCCTATGGCCCACCATGGCCCATTGCTTACCCGGGGGTTTCCGGTAACCCCTCAGGCCCTCCGTTTTTACCCAATACCACTCAAAACTCTTCCGGTGTCCGAATAACATAGTCCAATATATCAATCTTTATGTATCGACCATTTCAAGACTCCTCGTCATGTCCGTGATCTCATCCAGGACTCCGAACAAACTTCGGTAATCAAAAACACATAACTCTTAATACAAATCGTCATCGAACGTTAAGCGTGCGGACCCTATGGGTTCGAGAACTATGTAGACATGATCGAGACACATCTCCTATCAATAACCAATACCAGAATCTGGATCCTCATATTGGCTCCTACATATTCTACGAAGATCTTTATCGGTCAAACCGCACAACAACATACGTTGTTCCCTTTGTCATTGGTATGTTACTTTCCCGAGATTCGATCGTCGGTATCATCATTCCTAGTTCAATCTTGTTACCGGCAAGTCTCTTTACTCGGTCCGTAATGCTTTATCCCGCAACTAACTCATTAGTCACATTGGTTGCAAGGATTGTAGTGATGAGCATTACCGAGAGGGCTAGAGATGCCTCTCCGATACACGTAGTGACAAATCCAAATTTCGATCTATGCCAACTCAACAAACACATTCGGAGACACCTTTAGAGCATCTTTATAGTCACCAGTTACGTTGTGATGTTTGATAGCACACAAAGTGTTCCTTCGATATTCGGGAGTTGCATAATCTCATAGTCAGAGGAACATGTATAAGTCATGAAGAAAGTAGTAGCAATGAAACGGTAATGATCATAATGCTAAGCTAACGGATGGGTCTTGTCCATCACATCATTCTCCTAATGATGTGACCCCGTTCATCAAATGACAACACATGTCTATGGTTAGGAAACGTAACCATCTTGGATTAACGAGCTAGTCAAGTAGAGGCATACTAGGGACACTATGTATTGTGTATGTATTCACACATGTACTAAGTTTCTGGTTAATAGAATTTTAGCATGAATAATAAACATTTATCACGATATAAGGAAATATAAATAACAACTTTATTATTGCCTCCAGGGCATATTTCCTTCAACCTTCTCCTTCCAAACTTGTTGTCCTCCTTGTCTCCCATCCTCTCCGTCATAGCCATCATTGAGATAACCAGACGAAGAAGAATTACCCACAAAATTCCCTCTACCACCAGAATTGAAATTCGAAACAGAGGGATTGTTTCTAAACCTATTTCCATATATGTTCCCACAGGGGAAATTTTTCTTGTGATCTTGGAAACCGGCTTTCCTCCCACTCTATTGAATCGCCCCCCAAACCCACCTTTGAAGTTCCCAGCCATGGTATCAGCCAACGGCGGGGAGGAGGGAAACCCTAGTATCTGCGAGTCAGACACCCACTCCACGTATTTAGTTTTGATCGGACGGCTACCAATCATGCAAAGTTAGAGCACTATTGTTGTTTGACTCCGCTTCTCAAGTTCTCTGTGGGTCTTGTTGATCGAGGCCGATTAGGGACCTTTTGTTCACATCAAATATAGAGGTGACGATGTGGTTGACCTTTTGTTCACGTCAAATATATATACCTAACGAGTTGATCACCTCTAATTCTAAATCTTTCAACATGCAACTATACCAACTCATCATGTTATCATGCATGGAAAAAGACTTATCTTAACATGTATCATGCATGCACCTAAAAACGTGAACCATGTATGTAATTCATATTTGATAAATATTCTACAGCTATATAATAATCAAATGTTATAACTTATATACTCCATATTTTCTAGTTTCAATTCTTATATTATTAATTCAAATACTAAAATTCATATGACCAAATCTCATTGAAGTAATTGCAAATTATTTAAGCAGCAATGCACGAAGTATTATCTTTTGTAGTGTTTTTCAAAGCTCACACAAATTTAGTTTTGACCGGATCTTGGACGCCGATAGTCCAAAGTTACAGTACTGTTGCGAACCAATCTATGGTTGGGTGCTTAGGAGGACAACAATATCCTCAGCCCACCAGAGTTCAAATTCTGGTGCTCGCATTTTTCTAGATTTATTTTAGGATTTTCGATGATGCACGTTCAGTAGGAGGAGACGTTTCCGTCAACTACGGGACACCTACGGTGACTTCGTAAATTTCACGATGATATACTGGCTCAGTTTTTCGAAGGTGCTCGTAGGGGTAAAATGTACTTGTGTCCGTTCATATGGGTAAATATATGCGCGTATCTATGAATGTTTGCGACTTACTGTGTAAAAAAAAAAAGGTTTACCGTTGCTGTTTGATTCCACTTCTCTCAGAGGATCCGTCCGTCTCTGCTTACTCCTTTGAGGCGTTGACGCCCCGTGGGTCTTGTTGGTTGAGGTCTATGAGGAGCCTTTCGTTGACGCCAAACATAAAGGTGACAAGGCGGTCGGCCTCGTGGACGTAAAGTTAGATTACTGAAACTTTGACCACGTCTCCATACACTGGAACTCTATTACTTTGCTGACATGCACGGACACTTGTAAGTAAATAAATAAGGCACTCGTGCACCTAAAGCTCGAGCTAATTTAACTAGCCCCGCACATGTATATTTTGCCGGCACAGTCGACAATTCACCTACTGTACATTGGCTGGCTGAAGTTGGAAATTTCAAAACCTCTTTCGACGTTCAAGTAGCAATCTGCAAGTGCAAGGGCCTTCTAACTTTATTTTACCTGATAACGCCCATACGTATGGTATGAAGCAATTTCGCCCACACGATTTTTGATGACAACTTTAGTTACAAGAGGATGACAACTTTAGTTGTGAAGCATGTCAACTTTCTATTTGGATGGCAAATTTTAGTTTTTTTTTGATTTTTTAGATGGCAACTAGAGTAAAAAAACGTGTGGGCAGTGTTACTACATGCTGCAGCGTGTGCTACGGTTTCAACCTCATTTTCAAAAAGAAAAAAAAATCTATTTACTGCTCACACAAGAGAGGAGGAAGAGCCATAGTGTCCCGAGCTGGACAAGCCATCGCAATGGCGCCCTCGACGAGGACTCGGCATGACCTCGTTGGAGACAGGGACAAAGCGTTGTGATGGCGTCACCAGCTCAGAAGGGACAAGTTGTTGATGGTGCAGGCATAGGGCGGCGATGTGATTGCCGGTGTCGAAGAAGGACAAGGTTTAGAGGGATGGTCGGAGCAATGAGGGGACGGCTCTGAACATGACGGGGTGGCGAGGCAGCAGGTGGCAGCGGCCCCAGCGGGAGGAAGAAGATGAAAACTAGCATGGATTGTGCTTGGGGGGAGAAATTGATAGATTTGGAAGATGAACACTAGCATGCATCGTGCTTGGGGGAGAAATCGATAGATTTTTAGCAAGCCCGATTTGTGGACTGTATAGAACTCAGTCGACTGAGATTTAACGAAGTCTCAGTCGAGTGACATCAGCATAGTTGTGGTGCTGCAAGCGGCATGGCTGGATGCTTCAAACAGCGGCGAAAAATATTGCAACAGTACTGCAAGCAACAACAACATATGCTACAACCGTCAAACAAGAATGTTGCGACCGGTGAGAAAACGTGCTACATCGACGAGGAACGACATGCTACAACCAGCAAGACAAATGTTGCAACCGGCAGGAAACAAATGTTGCAAACGATGGAACAAAAGCTGCAAGGTCGACTGAGACTTCGTTAAATCTCAGTCGACTGATTTAACGCAAGCCCGATTTGGAAAAAGAAAGTCAGCCAACTGATGTTTAGGCGATCCCTTATTTTACCAAGTCTCTGCTCTCAAGTACAGTAACCAACAGACCTCCCTCAACCTCAAGACAAATAATCATCAGTAGAACTAGAGACACTCACACCACTCGCGCCACTTTGTGCTCCGTTTGTCATGACTCGGCGGGTAGGTTTCGAAGCAACCTCGCTCTTGTCCTTTTTGGATTTGGATGGCACTTTCTCCGTTTCCCACTTGTCCTCCTTGTTGGCCGTATCCTTCACGTCGTCTTCCTCGGCGGTCTTTGATTCCTTGTCTTCCGCGGCCGCTTTTCTTTCCTTGAGCTGGTCGATCAGGCGAGCGAGGCAGGCGTCGGCGTCGCGCGCGCTGCGCTTGGACGGCATCAGGCACTCGGCCACGTCCGCCGGCGTCATCTCCACGTCGCGCAGCAGCTCCTCGACGGCACCGAACAGCGGGTGCGCGTCCACCTCGAGGTAGTTGCCGGCCAGCGTCTTGAAGGCCTCGAAGCCGCAGTAGGACATCTCGATGTGCATGTCCATGCGCCCGCGCCGGATCAGCGCCGGGTCGAGCTTGTCCAGGTGGTTGGTGGTGAAGACGATGATGCGCTCGCCGCTGTGCGCCGACCAGAGCCCGTCGATGAAGTTGAGCAGGCCGGAGAGCGTGAGGATGTTGAGCCTCTTGCCGCGCGACTTGTCGTAGCCTGCCTCGGCGGCGTCGTCGTGAAACGGTGGCAGCGGCAGCATCGTGGCACGGCTGCCGGTGAGGTCGAGGGAGCAGTCGATGTCCTCGATGACGATGATGGACTTGCCGGTGGTCTCGATAAAGAGCTTGCGGAGGTCGCTGTTGGTCTCCAGGGTGGTGAGCTCGATGTCGTAGATGTCGTAGTTGAGGTAGTTGGCCATGGCGGCGATCATGGTGGACTTGCCCGTCCCCGGCGGGCCGTGGAGGAGGTAGCCGCGCTTCCACGCCTTGCCGATCCGGCGGTAGTAGTCCCTGCTGTTGCTGAAGTCGTCGAGGTCGTCCATTATCATCTGCTTCTTGGCCGGGTCCATGGCGAGGGTGTCGAAGGTGGTTGGGTGGTCGAAGTCGATGTAGCTCCACACCTCGTCCCTCCTAGAACTGATCGATCGATTGCCATGGGAGAAGCTAGAATCAGTGATCTTCTGAACCTAAACCAGAGTCGGTAATTTCTAGCAAGATGAAAAGAGAAAATGCTTCACATTGCTCTGGATCCATTGCTCATTCAGGTGTTCATTCAGAACTTCGGATTATCGGATAAAAAATGAGAATAATAATAAGAAGAACAAGCTAATTGCATAGGTAATTGATTGATTGATTGATTACGTACTGGTAGCTGAGCTCCTTCTTGTTGGAGTAGAGCCTGCGAGGCCGGTTGCCGAACATGACCTCCTGCCCGGCGCGGCGGACGTGCGGCAGGTACTCGTCGACGACGAGCCGCCGGTGCCGCTCGTGGAACGTGAGGCGGCAGCACCGCCCCGACGCTCGCCACGTCGTCTTCTCCTCCGCCACCGCCGACCACGATATGGTGATGCCCTTGAAGTCGTCCGCCACCACCTGCCCCTCCCGGAGGCTGAGCACGAAGCCGTGGCCCTCGAGGGCGCCCTCCGCGCGCAGCTCCCGCGCGTCCCGCGAGCACACCGCGCTCAGGTACGCCAGCACCTCCGCGTACGCGTCGCTCGACTTCACCTTGCCCTGGTACGAGAAGGAGTACTCCTCCGGCTTGGCCGCGATGTCGATGGTGACGAACGGGTCCAGGAACGGGAGGAACCGCCGCACGGGCCGCCGGAGGTGCTGGTTGAAGTAGGTCCGGAGCACCCCGATGGGGGCGCACGCCGCCAGCACCGGCGTCAGGTAGAACCACGCCGACGAGCGGAAGTGCTCCAACACTGTGCCCATCATCTCCGCCTCTGCCTCTGCCTCTGTCTCTCTGCTGCGTTACTCTCTTCAGTCTTCAGTTCATGCCGCGCTTGGGGTCTCCACGCCTTTGGCTATATACTTAGAAAGTTGAAACGGAAGAAGAAAGCGGTGTAGGGACGGATGGTAAAAATGGTGTGAGTGCAAAGAATTATCTCTGAAATCCACCCTGGCATCCTTTTATTTCACAGTCCAGTGACACAATCATTCAAAAAGAATTTTAACCTGTCACTTCCACTTTTACCAAAAAATGTAATCAGCGAATGCTCGCTCCATGTATCCCGCTCGTGACTCAATCTGCGACACTAGTCGCCAAGTGCTAATCTCAGAGCGTGCACGGTGGCATCTTGTTCATAACACAAAACAGATTTTGTGCACATACCCCCCCCCCCCCACCACACACACACACACACGTGCGTGCGTGTGTGTGTGCGCGCGCTTTGGTTAGTAACTTTGTACATGACAATCGACCTTTTCAACACTCTTTATACATGTCGAACGTGTCAAGGAACGGAAGGAGCCGCCGCACAGGCCGCAGAGGTGCTGGTTGAGATACGTCCAGAGCACCCCGATGGGGTCGCTCGTCGCGACAACCGGCGTTAGGTAGAACCAGGCCAAGGAGCAGAAGTGGTCGAACGATCCCCCCCATCGTGTGTGCCTTCGCGGCGCGTTCCACTTCCTTTATTCATATTGCGCTGGGTGTCTCCACGTCTTTTGTCATATACGGTGAAAAAGGAAGCAATAGAGGGACATATGGTAAGAATGGTGTGAGTGCAAATAATATCCTCAGAAATCCACCCCTGGCATCCTTTTATTTCACAGTCTAGTGACACAACCATTCAAAAACAATTTCAACCCTTGGCTCCTTTTATAAAAAAAATGTAATCAGCGAATGCTCGCTCCGTGTATCCCGCCCGCGACTCAGTCTAAGCCACTAGTTGCCAAGCGCTAACCTCAGAGCGTCCAACCCTGTGCACGGACCACACAGCATTGCAAGGAGGCATGAACACATCCTTTCTATCCTCGTGTGTCTATCTCAGAACCGTTCCTCCCAGACCATGACGCCGCAACCTCCGCCTCCACCGCGAGTTCATGTCTCTCACGTGGCCACGGCCACCTCCGTCGCAAGCATACCTATGTTGCGCCCCCACCTCTGTCGCCAAGCTGGACACCACTGCATCCAAATAGTCTGCCAGGGCATAGGGCTGAGTTGTTGCGCCCCCAGATCTGTCGCCAAGCTGGACACCACTCCGTCGAGAAAGTTCGCGAGGGCATAGGGCTGAGTCGTCGTCACGTTCTTTGTCTCCTCCATCCAACAACACATGACATGGTGGGCGGCCTAGCATGTTGCACCCCATGCTTCAACGCTCCAATGAGGCACCTGTGTGGTC